AGAATGTTAACTACTAACCCAATGGAAGCTTGAAACAAATAGAAAAGGTTGATTACGACCACGACATGCTGCTTCCTTCTGCGTTAATAAATGACCAAACGCATCTATGTGGTTATTATCAAGCTCTTTTGACATTAATAATTCATCCAATTGGCTTCTATATATTGCTATAATTCCTTGCTCGAAGATAGAATCGATCCTGTATAAGACATCATTATCAAATTGGTATAAAATAGACTATTCATATTGGTAAAAAATCAAGTACTCAAATTGGTATAAAATCGTGTACTCACTTATACTTGAATTGTTTAAGGTCATTATCAATTATGAGGCGTTTATCTTCGCTAATTAAAGCTCTGCCAGGGTAATCTAACATTTCAGCTGCAGGAGCCATGGGAACTTCTTTATTTTCATCAACTTCATAAGCAACGATGGCTTTGACAACAGGCAGATCAACATCAGTAACATTCTCTTGTGCAAGTGCTGCTGGAATTACAGTTGTACTTGTTGATGTAGGTTCCGTTTGAGGTTCTGGTGCTGAAGTTTGTGTAACGTCCGGAGCATTTTCAGGTGCTTTATGTGGACGATCACTTGCAATTGCATTACCTAAGTCCTCTTCGGCTGGCAAATTTTTTTTCGTTTTCTTCTTCCTAACACCAGTAGTGAAAGGTGTGGATACAAGTTTTCTTTTTCAGTCATTTCTCCTCTGAACTCTTTGTGCAATTCCTGTCAGTACTGAAGGATCAACCTCATACTCACTTAAGGTCGTGTCTTCAGATTCAGTTAGAGATATATAAGATGGAGCACACATCTCTTTCTTGTAAGTTTTAAAATAAGAAGGAAATTGTTCTTCAAAGAACTGCATCAAGAACCGGACTTTCTTTTTAATTTGTGCTTTCAAATTTAAATTTTCCTTCTCCAAATCAAACATGGAGTCTTCCAAAAAATGTACGCGATGTTCAAGTATTTGATTTGTTGCTTCCATATCTGCCACCTTCTTCTTCATAAAGTTGTGCTTGTTGAACTGCTCATATATTGATTTATTTAATATTCCCAAGTTAGTTTGATCATCAACATGGCTAGATTCAGGAAATGCAGATGCATTAGGATGACTTTGAGTTGAAAACCGTACTAGACTGACTGGAATTGGTGTAGCTGAGTCATGTTTGGGTGGACTCGACAACCGCACTGGACTAACTGGAGTTGGTGTAGCTGAGTCATGTTTGGGTGGACTCGACAACCGCACTGGAGAAGCATGAGTGGGTTGAGTTGACTCGACGGTTGTGGTGAAAGGTACCCTACTAGGGCTTGCCTCCCGCATTGGACTGGCTGGTCGAGAAAGATGAAGTAATAAATCTTTCTCATCATCAGTTATTCCTTGCAATTCTTTAAGTATCTACAAATAATATACCATCCAATTTAACCATAAAAACATTTAATTTTAGGAGACAATTGAATTAAATTATGTAGTGAACATACCTCATCTTCTTGAAGGTCAGCAAATATATTAATTACTTCTTTCTTAGTGTAAATAAAGTTACCATCCCAGCGAGTAAAACGAGGCCGGGATAGATCATCCTGTACAGCATGAATTGTTGTATGTTCAAGGAATCAAATCTGTAGAAAAAAAGGCAATTTATATATGAAATATATTTTGTACACTAATCAAACATTTATTGAACAAACAAACAATACTCACAATTAAAATCATTACAAAATCATTTACATAACCCAAAGCAAATCCCTTAGCTTGTTTTGTAGCAACACCGTTGAATTCTTCAACTAGGAAACCCCTAATTGATTCAGGCCAGTTGTACTTATTAAACATATCTGAGAGTGTTGAGAAGTTCAAAGATGGCTACTGGTATCCGAAAGCTAGCCATTGGATAAAATATGTTCGATAGCAGGTAAAGAAGGAAGCATTTCACAAGATCATCCAATGTAGTGCTATTATCCATCCTCTCAATGTCGTGGCGAATGTCATTTGATGTTTAGCCACTGGATCTCGCACTGCCAATGTCAAAAATAAGACCCCTATTTGGCTTGCCTATCAGTAATGCAACTTCATCAGATGTGAATTTTAGACTTTGTCCTTTAATAATAAAACTTTCGCTCTTCATATCCCACTTCGATAATAGCATATGTATAAGTGGAACATTTTGAGGCATAAGAGGAAGCCTAAGGAACTGGCTGATATGAAACTGACGCAGTCTATCGACCAAAGGATCTCCAAACCTCTTAACAAGTAGATTACAAACTTCTCTGAAAGTTGAAGTCTGGCATCGAAAATGAATCTTTGGAGTATATCCCTGCGTAACATCAATCGTTAGTAATGCTAATAACTAATAAAGATCAATGCGTTATACCGACTAATAGTTATGCTCGGTACAGAGTAATACCGAGCAGTACCAAGCATAAAAATTAGTAATTCTGCTCGGTACAGATCAATACCAAGCATTACCGAGCTATACCGAGCAGTACCGAGCATAACTATTACTAATTCTGCTCGGTGCAGAGGAATACCGAGCATTACCAAGGGTACAGATCATTACCGAGTAGTTATGCTCGGTACAGATCGGTACCGAGCAGTACCGAGCATAACTATTAGTAATT